CGTGGCCAAGTCAATGTCACTCACGTCGATGGGACTCTTCCATTGTTATGTTCACCATGAATATCCAAAAATGGTCTGGGTTAGCTTCCTGTCCATTCAAAGTGTTTGGAAAGTTAAATATTGACAATACTTGGGAATACAAATTCTAAATATGGTTTTGAAAGAAAAGAATGCTGGGATAAAATTATTCTCTTCTGTTCCATCTGAATGAAAGAAACTTTTGCTGGTCTCAAACTTTAAAAATAAGGATTTTAGCTACCTTACCACAGTTAGATATTGCAGCATTCTGCCATCAACTCGTGATTCATGAAACTGATCCTTGTACTGGGGTAAACCAATATCATCAAGCCATCCTGTGGAATATACATAAATATATTTTACTGCTTAATAAAAACAACCAAAAACAATTCACTTGTTCACAAGACTAAATTTTGTTTTTGCAGAATAATGTTTCTAGCTTCTTATATTCTCTGGAGAATAATATGATTTCCATCCCTATTGTTTGTGTCCATTCTACATGTTTAATATTTTCCCCATCAAAACAGCTTTTTAAGAAATCTTCCATCTAATTTCATAGTTTATACAAAGCAATACAATGCTCGAAAAGGAAATAAAACTGAAGAAAATGAAAATAAAGCCATATATCTCTGTAATGTTTCTAGAGATGAAATTGAAGTTGAGTAGGTTTTTTAAAAAAACCAACACATACACATTTCTACATTGTAAAGTAGGCTAGAAACATAATCAATCTGTTTTTCATTCCTCTTTGCCTTTCAAATACTTACGTGTAACCCAGATATGATCTAACTGCGCAGACTTATCATCTTGTTTTGTATTTATAGCTTTGACTGCCAAAACCAATTTCTTCCTGTGTAAAGGCTGCTTAATTCCCAACTCCTACAAGGGGAAGCAATGATGATAATTAAAATGGTTACCTGTCAGCGTGACACATGTTCAGATAGATCACAAATACGTTGAAGTTCTTGAATAAAAGATACTATGCTGAATTGGAAATTGGGAGTTTCCAAAGTAATATTAATGTTTTAATGTTTAAACCTCAAGATATCCAATTTGTTGTCTGCTAGTACATAGAGCTGCTAAAAAAACAATCTTTTGAATTCAATATACGCATGGCTGATTTTATTTGGATTGATGGATCATAAATACTGATGTACTTCACCTTTAGGCTTAAAATAAGAAGAAAGGGTTGTGCAAAGTATATGTATCTCTGTCTGTGTGTATATTTAACTGTAGAGAAAAGTGAAAAAAGAGAAACTGATTTTACTCTTTGAAAAACCTTATAAAAATGAACATACTGGGAAAAGCACATACAAGAATATACTATACATTCTTTCTAATTTGTACTGCCTTCTACTTTGTTTTCTGTTTTTTTTCTATGAAAATTCTGGCAAATCAACCCTGAACAATTGTTTTACTTCCTCCAGTTCTCTAGAATGATACTCTGCCTACAAAGATATGTTTACAGGTGCATTACATAGCCTCTATAAGTGACTATGTTTAAAGATAGTTTTCCCTTCTCCAAAGAACAAGGG